ACGCGCTTGCCGTTTCCCAGGTCTTGTGTTTGTGCCAAAATGGCAGACCCCGATGCGCGACAACAGGACGGTTTTATTTGGGCTTCTTGCCGCTTCCCTTTAGAGACCACCATTGCAACGGACTCTTGCGATCGAGTGGCCCATGTTGCCCACAAGCACTTGGCCAGTGTGTATGCCGCAGCGGATGGAAATCCTCAGCGTCGCGTCGCTGTTGTATGCCCCGGGCATGGTCCAAAGATGTTCAACGTGACTTCTGATAGCGTCTGCTCAATGGCGGGGAGTAAATTTGCAAGGCTTGCAACTATTCCAAAAGTTGAAATAAGGGACCCCCAAGTACAGCATGCACATCATAGTGAGCTCGTGTTCTCCCCCGGTGAGCCCGCCATATTTTTTTGGGCCGCAAAACCAGCTAGTTGCTCCAACTATACCCACACCTGAAAAAAAAGCAAAGCAACAAAATCCAGTTTTAGGGTTAACCCTGAATAAACTTGGAACACATGGTGTAATCCTAGAGCCTAAGGAAGCCAACCTAAAGATGAGTGCCAAGCAGAGGTGGTAGGAGAAAACATTCTCGCTGGTTACCTAGACAAAAAGGAACTCAAACCGTAGACCGAGGACAAGACCGGTTTTCCGCCCGGAGAAATGGCTTGCTGGTTGGGTAGTGGCCGGCCTCCCGAGTCCAAGTTTGCTTCAAAGTGGTCTCTTGTGGGTGCTCAAAAACTGAAGCGAATGGCAAACCAACCAAACTTGAGGTCTTTATTTCCTTGAGCTAGCCAAACGGCTGTCTGTTGAACACCCCCCCTATTGCGGGAGATACCCCCCCCCAAAAAAAAACAAGGGATGGACAAACACCGGGCGTTTCACATAAGGTTGGGTCATCTGCCGGAGCCATGGGTCCAGGGCCACCGGATCGATCCAAGTCGCTTGGGCAGACCCCGCCGTGAGAGCCAAGAGTTGATGCCGCTCATGGCAGCCAGCATCTCCACCTGCCAAGTGCCACGCGAGCTCCAAGCAAAATGCGAGGAGATCACAGAAATGCGACCTGCCAGTTGTTTGAGAGCTTGCCATGTGGCTGGGCCACAAAACCAGCCAACCCTGAGTTTGGGGTTTGTACTGGGACGGGAACCCTATGCTTGTGCCGACAGAACCAAGGATTTGGGATTCCATGAAATCTGCAGCAGGGTACTTGCAGAATATTGCAGGTGACACGGTGAGAGATTTCATTGCTGTGGTTGCCTGTCTGTTTTTGTACGCCTGATCTCGTCTTCACAAGCCACAAAGGGTACAAGACTTGTGACAGTCTTGCCCTCGGGCCATCCCCTAACTTTTAACTTCAAACTGGGCTTACGCACCTGGATGTTACTGGATGTTACATCTGAAAGGTGCGTAAGTTATGAGTTTAACAAAGGAGCAGCTGTTTGTGGCATCCTTGGCGCGTCCCACAAGCTAACCTTTGTGACCTGTGGGCACCAGAAGAAGCGCCCTTTTAGACTTCCGGCATTGCTTTGGACGAAGCCTTGCCTGTGGGACGTTCATCTCTTGGCGAACTGTCTTTGGCAAAACCGACAGACCAAGCCCGACAGAACTCCACAAACCTTGTGCTTCGCGCCATGAACGTGATCACAATCCGCGTTCCGAATCCAAAAAGCTCGGACAAAGTGAACTGTGCGAGTCGTGCATGGTTTGCCTGCCCCCAGTGGCTGGCAAAAAGCTGTCCCTGAAAACGCCCCTTGTCAAAGGTGCCACTGCTTTGACTCCGGCCCTTGCTACTTGGCACATCCGACTTGGGCAACATGTGGTCTGCACTGGGGCAGATTGAAGCGGGCATCCTTTCGGCTAAACAAACAAGAGAAAGAAGCAAACAACGCAAACTTCCACGCGAACAGAAAGTATTGCCACAAAAAGCAAAAGCCAAGCACAGCTTGGAGATGGGGACTTGTTCCCATTGATACCCCTTTTAAGCGAGCCAAAACATATACTCCTCCCACAAAAGAAACTGCCCCACATCAACAGCCCATTAAAAACAAACACACACACACACACAAACTTGATCGAGATGCGGTCTAAATAAGCTCGTGCGTCTGTCAAAATAGGGGAAGCCCCCAGAATGGGGTGGTTGGTTTCCTTTCGGTTTCCCTTTAAACCCGCCTCAAAACATGTCCCCAAAACAACGCACGCAATGTGTTTCCGTAATGGACGCGGGAACATCGAGAGTCCCCTACACTTTGTCCATCAGCACGCTTTGACCGGGGGTTACACAAAGGGTACACTCCAAAAAAACAATCGTAGAACTTGAACAGAGCCCTGCTAGAGAAAATGGTCCATGACGGTCCTTTCGGGTTCTATGCTTTTGTGAGGGCACTTTTGACTTGCAAAAGACTTCAGAAGCGGACGGGTCACTTGGTTGGGCATAAGTGTGTGGGCACTCGTGTAAGGCTTGGCATGGGCTCGGCCATAGTCCAAGGCACTGCCGCCATGACCGCCACGGTGGGATGGTTCTCATTGACCACCGGCGCCCCGTAGATGCACAAGACAGCGTCGCCTTGAGAACGTGGACCCAAATGAGCGAACGACTTTCGCGAAATAGGAACCTCCAAGGAAGGGACCATCATCACAGGTGACCCGGGTCACCAGAGCTCGCTATAACTTGCCACATACATCCATTTCTGTGGTGCCAAAGCAGGCATGACCACTCAATCACTTTAAAGGGGATTCCATGGGCTGTGCAGCAGCAGCACTAGGCATTCACCTTCTGTCCCTGAGCCGCTGGTTCAGTGGAGTAATCAGTTGAATAGCCCAAGATGACGCGCGTTCTGCACAACTGCTATCGAATCTATGAGGTCGTCAATCCATGGTGTCTGTCTGCTTTCTTCGCAGCAGTTCAGTTCTTGCCGCCCCCTCCTACCTGCCCTCCGAACCTATTGCCAGAGTTGTGCATGATCCAGTATCAGATGCTTTAGATGGTTCGAATGGTTGTTCGACAAGGGGGTCCATTTTCTATTCCGTGCCACACCCACAAGTAAAGCCAGCACCATCTAGCAGGATTACATTTATTGCGGATTGGGTTTGAACCCAGCAACATAAAGTCCATCAAGGCCCCTCAAACAACAAGAGCCACAAGAAGAGAACCAAATAGCCGGAACCTCCTGCCCTTTGTAACATTGAGTCCAAACCATTGAGCATGGGTCCACACCAGTCCACTTGCATATGTTCAGGGGAACTTGTGGTGAGTTCAGTGGCATCTTTCTGGATATTTATTGGCAAATGATACCGGCTAACGCGTTCTCTTCTTCAAACTCTGCGGAGTCACCGATGAACTCCACCACAATGCCACCATGTTGATCCACGATCCTGGACATCTCCTCGGCTTAGCCCATGGTCTTACAACGCATGCAAGCGGCTTTTCTGCGCCTTTCTGCGCCGTGGGGCGCGGTCACTTTGGGAGACCTAGCCATGCAGGTTTACGGCCTGGGTCACCTTACCGTCAGTCATGTGTTATGCGAATCCGCTGCTTGCTCCGTCGCAGGATTGCGCACTAAGAGCATCCTAGACCTGCATTCCTTCAAATGTTTTGCAGGCCCTGCTGGCTAGGCCATGGTGTCACATTCAAAAAACCAACGTGTACAACCCAAGAATTAACTCAGAAAGCAGTACAGCTCTTATCAAAAGGAGCCGCTCTCTTCTGTTGTTGATGACGCACATTGGGGCACAAGGACAGGTTGTGGTCATGGGAAAAAGTGTATTGCTTTTTGGTCATGTTAAAGGGCGCCATGATTCGACGCAGACTTCAGCTGTTGAACCAGTTCCGTCAACCTGCACGCTGGTCCGAAAGACCTGGGAAAACAAGGCCATTGCAAACATGTGGAACGCAAGATCAAAAGGTCAGCCCACTCTCAAATAAGTTTCAAGTGGAACCTGGAAAGCATGTTGTCATACATCATTTATGTGTGGAAAGGTCCCGTGACCCACACTCCATTCATTGCAAACGGGTCTGCGGGATGGCGATTGCACCCACACGATTACCTCTGGCCAGTTGAAAGGAATCTACACATTTTCGTTCAAACGGTGGCTGAAAGGTTGAAGCACGCAGCACGGGTAGGTCGTCTCAACGCCTTTGGTCGCATCGGTGGTTGGCCCATGCTGGAAGGATCTAGCAGCCAAGGGTCCACGCGACTGGGCCAGACTTGGACCTGAAACAAGTCTCAACTGGTTTGTTGGTTGAAGTGTCAAAAAACAAAGGAAACCATACAAACGGAGACAATCCAAAAGGCAACGTCGGTTGACCCACTTCTGAAGATCGCTTCGCCTCATTTCGGCCCTGGGTTTTGCTTGGCTCCTGGAAGTAGCGGCTCAGGAGCAGCAACGAGCTCTTGGGTGGGAGGCTCTCCACGATGGTGGTGAAGCTTGCAATGTCCGAGAAGAAGATCGTGATCTGCGCTTTTTGTCGTTTTGACAAACACATTTCTGGGGCATAAAAAAGCCTGGCAAGGTTGATCGATCCCATTTGCCTCCATATGCCTCCATGATCCCACCAAAGGGCAACTTGCCTAGAATTGGCCCGTCCGAAAAGGACAAACCCTGCAAAGAGGCAACTTCAAAACGGGTTGAGAGGAACATGTAGGGATTGGACCTGTGTGCGAACATGGTGAAACGACAGCTGTAAGGTAAGGAAGGAGTCGGGGCTGTCGCCATGTTGCCCTGCCATTACTTGTGCCAGGATTGCCAGGCAAAAAGCCTTACACCTCGCAAATCAAGTCGGAAAAACATGGAAAAGCTACAAAGTGTGTTCCAAAAGGCTGTCCCTCTTGAAATGGACAGGGAGGTTCCCAAAGAGTAAAAGTAATCTGCGCACCTGCTTGCCAGCGTTCAATTTTTGAGAATACTCCTCCAATCTAACAACTTGCAAATTCTAGAGACATTCCGAACTCTGAAATATCCCCTAGTAAGGGACCTGAATCATGGCGAGCTCGTTTTATGCCCGCCCCCCTTTTCCGGTGAGCTCACTTGTGCAAACGCCAATGGACCTTGGCACTTTGGGCACCACCAAGACCCTTGGCTCGCGCGCGAGGATCCAGCGCCTTGCGGTTCGACACCTCGATGTTGGCCTGCGCATCCTTGCGCATCATGAGCTGCACCACGGGCCTCTGTCGTTTGCGGTTTGTGTCGAATGGTTCGAACGGAATCGCTTGATGGGCCTTGGGATCCCTAAGCAAAACACCACTTGGATGGTTCAGTTTGGGGTCATGCTCCCGCCTAAGAGCCAGCAAACCTGCCCTTGGCACTCGGAGCCATAGTGGTTGGCTGGGTTCAAGTGACACGCTCGGATTTGCCCAAGCGCTCGTTCAGGAAGACCCCCTAAAGTGGGAGGCCAACGTGTGGGAGAGTGTCCTAGTTCAGAGGGGGTCCAATCACTTTTTGGGGAACCATGGATCGGTCACAGCCGTGAGGTCACAGAAACTTTGTCCAGCAGCAGGTCCCAGTTGGCTTGGGGTCCCCTTGGTTTTCTTCAAATGGAGCTAACGCCCGAACCACAGAAAAAAGAAGTGGCGACTCCCGAGCCAGGTGGGTGCCCACCGCATCTGCGCCACACACGAAACTTGTCAGTCCCTCTATGGCACATGGATGTGGGAAAATTGGAGAGCACCCCATGCCTCCCAAATAGACAAGGACAAAAATAGGCCAACAAACGCAAACACATCCTCTGGGGAAGGAAGCGAAATGCAGGCAGCTGCCTGACCTCGTGCTTCTCTATCTGAGATTCTTGTTGTAACCCTCCCGACTCCAAAATGCGTGGCCAACATATTTCTCTCGCCTCTTGCGTCACAACACATGCCTGCTAGCTGCCAGTGCAGAACATTTCCTTGGTGATCAAGAACGACTCATTACACATGGTTGGGTCACAAACAGTTGCAACAAGAACATGCACAACGCACCCACCCTTGAAGGGAGCCCAAAGTGGCGTAGTTTTCGCACCCGCGAGTCCAGCTTCGCCAAAAACGAAAATGCCCTTGCCGCTCCTGAGACGACTTGCTTGTCGGGACCCATACTAGGTTCTCCAGTAGAGAGGTTAGAATAACCTTTCCCTGTAGTCTATGTTACTAGGGGAACCCTTCCCAAAAAAAGAATCGGTAAAAAGGCACCTAGCTGGGGGACCTAGCATACCTACCCACACCAAAGCAACGGACGCTGATGAGCTTTGCGCCGAGACGCCATGGCACGTACTTCCCCCAGGAGCGGATGGCGGTCTTCATGTTGTCAAAGCGGCGACGTAGAAGCCTGCCAGGCGCCAAGGCTAGGGCCCCCTGAGGAATCCAAGGAGTTCCCTTGTATTATTTTGAGGGTGCCCCCATTTTGGTGGTTTTAAAGGGACATCAAAAAGGCAAACAACATTTTTTAGGGGAGTCCTAAACAAAACACTCCCAAGTGCGTAAACAATGAGGCCCAAGCACTGAGGAATGTGCAACTTGCGGGTTCCTCTGTGTTGGACCCGAAGGGAACACCACAAGTTGTGAGGCACAATGCAAAACAAGGTACTTGGACTACGCGATTGTTAAAAACCTTGATAACACAAAACGCAACACCGAGTTTCCTTATGGCACCCCCTCCCCTGATGTCCGAGGGCATGATTTGTTGGGTTTTGTTTTGCTGGATCCCCGCCTGATCTCGCTGGTGACATCCTGGCTCTCGTCATGGGCTGCTTTGGTGGTCGCTGCTAGCTGCAGCCGGGTGATACTCTCCTGGGCTGATGCATATGTTTGTGGCATCCGTCCGGAGACTGTGCGATCTTAAATGGTATGGAGCGGGCCCCTACCGCATGCCAAGGGGCCCAGAAATCACAGAGGCTCCCAAAGACCCTTTTCAACTCTATCATCTATCCCAATTTGGGGAGCCCTGTTACATAGTGTCATCCTGGGATCAACCAACCTGCAGGACCCACTGGAGTTTCCCGGCCCCAGTGAAGGAGTCCCGTTTGTCAACCAGCGGCTGGGTTCCCATGATCCAGGCCCAAGACTCGACTTCGTCCGACAGCTCCACCAAGGGCTTCAGCAAGTTCTTGGAGAGATAGGTGAGGTCTCTGGTCAACAAGCTGATGCCGACCATGATCAAGAACAGCACGCCCCCTGCGAAGAAAATCAATGATGCCAACCATTCACATGCAGGGGCACTGCGTACTAGAGGGTTCCTCCGGAAGGGAAGGAATGCAGCAAAATGTGGAGGCTAGGCGGGTGCAGCCTTGAGCCCAGCAACCTAGCCGCTTGCTCAACAAACGTTGTCTCTAGATCAGGTGCTCTCGACACTGACGAACAGGCACCGCAAAAACCGGGCGACCAAACACTTGGGCTCCACGCAAGTAGTGAGGATGGAGTCACGTGCCCGTGCCACCTCAACGGGATGCAAAATGTTCCCAAAGGGTCCCAGAACTGTTTTTGGGCCAGGTGAGGTGAGGGGACTGGGGCCCCATTGTCCCTCCTGACCTACTCTAAATATCCCCCAATACTCAGCATGCAGCCAAGCAATTAGCAATTTGCTAAACCAATCGAAAATACAATGGCAAATCTAATGACGCTAAATCTAATAGCGTTGCGGCAACTTGCCGACCAATTCAATTCCAACGTTAACTAGATTGAAACCTCCACCAAACAAACTCCGAAACCAATAAACTCGAATCGGAAAGCCTGCCGTTGCATCTCCAGACTGGCCAAGCACGACGTCAGGCGTTGCAGCTGTTGTTTTGGGTTTGATGAGAGGCTCCCAGGCCGAACGGGGCAAATTTGTGAGACACCGACCCAAAGTCAGGGTTCCTGTGAAAGGAACCTTCCACAATAGTTGCCTATGGAGGAAAATAAGATAAGGGTTGGGAACCAGTGCATCAGTGAAAGGCAGCTTGCAGCAAAAATAACCTACACAAACTTCATCACGCGGGCGGTCGCCCAGCTCGCTGTGCGAGGTCACTGCGATTTGTCCAGGGATGATGTCGCTACCGCTACCCTACACACATTGAGGTCTGGCAAGCAAGGTGCCTAGGCCCACCAGGCCCTGCGCTGAACAAGCTTACATTGGTGAACTTCAGCCAGCACCATTCCTTGGCCGGATGTACGCCCACAATCTTTGAGGGTGAAGCTCCGCTGGTGAGGAGACAAGTGGAGCTGGCCGAATTTCTTTGCTTCAGCAGATCTGATCTGAAAGCAGTTGGAGGATTGCAGGGATGATTGCATTTCACGTGATGCATCTCCCGCCAATTCAGGGAACTTACAGGTCAAACAGGCCGCAGGTTGCCTCACAAGGACCCCACCCGCTCCCCGCCCGGTGGGGCACCGCATCTGAAGCCGAGGTTCTGTGTCCGCACGGTTCAAAAACAAGGCCACCGCCTCAGTCTTGTTCTCCAACTCCTCCGCGCTGATGTCCTGCCGCTCCATGATTCAGTTCTGTTCATGACTGATGATACCAGGGCACAGATTGATTAGTTATGTGGTTCAATTGATTTATTGCTATAAAAAACGTTATTTCATTGAGTACTGATGTCATTCATTCCTAATTGTTATGCATCTGTCACATCCTCCCTGGTTCAAAACTAAGGGCCCACTAAGAAGCCTTCATCATGGGGTGGAACCGCTCGCTTCCTCAGTTCTCTTTGCGAGGTTGTCACGTTAAAACGCCCCGAACCATCCACTGCTCGCGCGCGCGCGAGGCGCGCGCGCGCGCGCGCACTATCGCGGGCTCCTGGTCCGAGAAGTCGGGATAGCGGAGCAGCAGCAAATCCAGCGTACGGTGGTTCGAGGCCAGCACTTCTCGATCCACTTCTTCTAAGGTTTTGGTCCTGAAGAGACAGACTCTAGAGGGCGTGCTTTTACATTCCAAGTCCAATATTTGTTGAAGGAATGCCCTGTTTGCAAAAACGTTTCCCCATTTGAGTTCCAGGTTGCGCCAGGAAGATGATTCACATCGGCCGCCAACATGCAGCAAACCGCCGGCAACCCGTCCGAACGCTTTGGTGCAACCCCCTTGCCAGTGGGGTCGCCGACAAGCAAACTGCAGTGCCCTCTTTGGAACCTGAGGTGAGCTCAGCCCATTGCCGGCGGAAAGGAAAGTCGACTGCAGAATCTCAGGGAAACGCCCAGCCGAAATGGGCAATCCACAGCTCTAAAGGTATAGGGTGAGATTGCACAGGCAAGTCTTCTTTGAATAACACCCACCAAAATGCCCAACACCTGATGTTGAAATCACCCAACCTGGGACATAGTTATACTCCCCCTAGCAAGAAAAATGGGAACCTTTCTTTGGGTTAGCCATTTTGGGCGAGGAGCCCCCCAAAACAACAAGGACAACGGCACTGAGCTGGGGTAAGCACCCTCAACATCCGAGTGGCGGGGCCCACTGAATCGGCAGCGAGAGTGGCAGCGAGCAGGGCATGTCAGCGGCAAAGGAGTTGCAGTAGACGCGCCTCGATTTCCGCCGTCACCAGGCCGTGGAAAAGGGGACCCCGTTTCAAAGCCAGTATTGGGAACCGGGTTAGTTTCAGGGCACCCTTGTCGGCTTTACGCCTGGAACCTATGGACAGGCCCAAAGAAAGTCGCCCACCTTGGTCGCGCGCCTATTTTTTTTGAAGGCATTTCAACCTGATACTCAGATCGGCATAACTCATCGAAGCGCCACATTGGCGCCAATTGATAATTTCAACGACTCAAAGGATGCACTCCCTTTTTCGTGTGACCCAGACAAGCCAAAGGAAACAAATTCACACACACACACACACCTGCGCGCAACGAGCCTGAAACACAGCCATTGGGTGGGATTGGGCTTCAAACTGGAGCTGCCTCATGAGTCCACAGCCAATGGCCCCATCCCAACAATCTTGGCGTAATTCGAAGTTGCTGGTTTGAATAACACATAGATGCAAACAAAACAAATGCCAAGAGCACGGGGTGCACAGAGCGCCGAAATGGCACGTATGTGAGTCCTCTAGTGCATTGCTTTGCGAAGCCGTGGGCAAGATTGCAAACCTGCTCGAGGCCATCGAGCAAAACCACCACGAATTGGCAAAACGCCAAGACAACCGCAACAATTAATGCTGCCAACGAAGACCACGATCACGACTGATCACAACCACAAGCACGCAAAATAACAAACTGGATTTGCAACACCTGCCCCCGAAATGTCCCCAGCCTCCGCACGTCCAGGTAGAGCAACGGCCGGTCCGGCCGATTCCAACCATCTTGCACCCCCCAGCTGTTCACTTGCCTGGCATTATGCACAAGTCGCGCCAGTCGCGCCAGGCACCGGCCAAACCGACAAACATCCCCACTTACCTATTCGTCTCCGAGGAAACCAAACATCTTCCAGCTGTCCAGGGGCGCTATTGCAGGGCAATAACGAACATAGAGCAGGGTGGGGCCTGGGATTCCCATATTACATGGGGGCCAGATTCGATCTTTGAGCCAGGTGAAGCCTCATGGTAAAATCCAGAAAGCAAGAACCGCCACCGGAGCTGCGTGTCTCCTTTAGGGAAGTGCCCCTCTTCCAATTCCAACTCGTTCCCCTGGGATCACCAAGTGACAGTCGCCGTTTGGTTCGGGCCATGTGCGCGTAAACCTCCGATATATCATACATCTTTCATATATGTCTACTTTTGCTGAGCATCCAAAACACAAAGACCCTATCGAGATGCCGTGATCCCAACAAGGGTCTAAACGGACCATTCGCCATAACCTAGCGACGTCGTCGAAGCATATTCCTTCAACAAGGGGCACAAACTTTGAACAAAGTACTTTAAGCCTACGCTTTGGGGATGGGGGACATGCCATCCGAAACATCAAACAGCCCAACTTGGGAGATGAAAAATTGGTCAGGTAACACCGAGGTGACCCAAACCGGACGCATTTCATGGCCTGCGAACTGCCTCAGGGACCTCGGCGCCGACAGAAGGCGTACCTCAGAGGTGGGGAAGTGTCAAAGAGTTACATTCTCCACCTGAAAATTCGAATTATTTGGCTCCGGAGGCTGTGCCGCACTCTCTCGGAAGCATAGTTAGGACCATCCGCACAACAGCACTGCTGGCTGCTAGAACCTGAACGTTCCCTCCAAACTAGTCGCTTCCTTTTGGCCTGTAAGGGGTGTGTTGAAAGGTCATCAAGGCAAAACCCTCTCCCAAGGTTTTTGACCTTGGACAGGCCAACCGGCGACAGTAGCCTCAGCCAAATCGGGGATTTCAACTCAAGGATCTGAGCATTCGCGATTAGGGAAGAACAAGACCCTGGGCACAGGTGTCTTGAACCTATGTTCGGAGCCCCCGTACGGTGGCATAAGATCAAACGTGATGGATCCGTTGAAAAAACAAATATATATATATATATATATATCACAGATTGAGAAAAGGAGCCCCCCTGCAACCGCCATCAGAACCTGACACAACCACGGATGTCGACTCCGGGCTCACAAATGCGGATTCAAGGTGCTCCGCCAATGGAACACTTCTCTTGAAATTAGACTGGTGTTTCTTAATCCTGGGTCGAGATTAAGAAAGTTTCTGAGAGAACAGTGTGCATCTTCTCCAAACGTCCTTCAAACGGCCAGCCTGTGAATGTCTTTGCATGTGCGTGTCTGTGTCTGTCTGTCTGTCTGTCTGTCTGTCTGTCTGTCTGTCTGTCTGTCTGTCTGTGTGTGTGTGTGTGTGTGTGTGTGTGTGTGTGTGTGTGTGTGTGTGTGTGTGTGTGTGTGTGTGTGTGTGTGTGTGTGTGTGTGTGTGTGTGTGTGTGTGTGTGTGTGTGTGTGTGCGTGTGTGTGTGTGTGTGTGTGCGTGTGTGTCTGGGTGTGTGGGTGTCTCTTTGTGGCTGTGTCTGTGTGTGTGTGTGCGTGTGTGCGTGCGTGCGTGCGTGCGGGTGGGTGGGTTGGAGGGTGTGGGGTATGTGGGTGTGTTGCGTGTGTGGGTGTGTGAAACGTGTGTGTGTGTGTGGCAAATTGCTGCTGGCCTGTCACCACACGAAAAGGGGAGTCCTGCATATTCCTGCAGCTGACCATGGCACAAATGAGGTCGTGGTTTCTTGTGGTATCTAAGTGTTCACTTGTAGCTATGTCAATTGTGCCCTGACTGTCGACAAGACAGCTGAAAACGTTCAGTGCTGCGAAAATGACCCGCGCGCCAAATGTGGCAAGACCAAAGCTGCCAGACCAAGCATGCCGCGGTGCCGTAGGTGATTCGCACGAAGGTGTTGAGGGTGGCGAAGCCGTAGGATAGGGAGGTATCCTCACAGAGTTGTTTGCTCTTTTCGTGAAATCGTGCGTGGGTATTTTGGGCAGTCAACCCTCCGCTTTTCCACCGACTGAAAACAAGACAAGGTGCAAATTGACAACCAACCATAGTGTTGGAATCTCCTTTTGGGAAGCTTCCCTTCTTGAGGTCCAACCCATTGCAATTCAGCTTGCGCCTACTTCACGGCTTGGTCGTCCGGTGGTTTGGAGTTTGGGTGGTGGTGTTCCCCATTTAGCGCCCAAAGTTGCAGGGGTCAAACCCCGAAGCCACCAATCCAAAGCATCCAACTAAGGGTAACCTGAGCCATCCCGAGTGTGTTCATCCGCCTCATAGAGCATCTCCACGTAGCTGAGCACCAAGATGATGAGCCTCGAACCAAGATGGTGAGCCAAGAAAGGCGGTCGCAAAAGTGATAAAAAACGAAGGGGAAAATGAAGAATCAAGCTCCACCGGTTGCAAAAGGCAGTGGCTACAAGGGGGAGGATGAAGAATCGCGCACCGCTTTGAAGGGCTTCTGCCAAAAACGGTCTTCCCAATGACGAATGGTTCGCAGAGCGTTGCGGCACAGAAGTGCAAAAACACCTAACCTCGCTCCCCCCATGTCGTCCCAGAGTGAAAACAACCTGGCACGGATCGAAAAAGACAGGCCTTGAGGAAACCAGAGGTCCTGTTTTCGACGTCTTTGGGACCAATGCCTGGGGTTCAGGGGCAACACATCTTTCAAACCAAGAGGCCAGGGTCAGAGCAACACCCGACATCTCGGTTCAGTGACCCCATCTAAAACACAAGATCCTATTTATTGAGGTTGGCCATGTTGCGGAACACGGTAACCAGGGAAGGGTGGCCAAATCCGGATTCGCCCGGTCCGGGCGAGGTGCAGGATTGCCATGGCTACCTTGACCCCAATGTACTCTGCATTCCGCTGGCGCACCGCCTGCATGTTGTTGCCGCGCCTTAGGTCGCGGTTTTTTGACTGGGGAAAAGATGCCGAACTATATGTTCACTGTTTCCCCTTGGAGAAACATAATCTTAAATAGGAATGGGATCTTTACGAGCCTGAATTCAGCCACGGCACCACTAGTGTCAACTAGTGTCATAACAAAAGGACAGCCATCATGGGCGAGCTCGCATTACACCACGAATACACACACACATGTATATACATATATACACATTTATATTGTGATGCATTCCTGCAAGCAATGGTATCCATCTTCTGAGGCACCTTCGGGACAAATCAAGCTTGTGGGCAAGGCCAGGTGATCAGTATGCCCGTATCCATCTCACGTACTTCCGCAGCAAAGAAACAGATCCTTCGGGAACCTTCCTTCCCAAACATGGACCCCCGCTTTCAGAGGAAGCTCCTTCGGGAATTGGACCCCTTTTGCGGGCCCTAGCTATGCATTTCTTTCCAATTGTTCCACCAAGGCAAACCTTGGAAATTCCCAAACCCGTGGCTCCTAAAAATGGAGCTCTCCCTTCAAACCGTCCCGTGTGTTTGCGGTCTTCAGTCTTTGGAGTTGGCCGTCCGAGGGTAAAACCCATCCTTCACGCCCTCGCTGCTTGCACGTTGCTTCAGCTGCTTCACCACCGAGTTCTTGAGCCACTGCAGCAGCGGCGGCTCATTCCTCGGAATTGAAGGATTCTCAGCCCCGACTTCCAAGCAAAAGAAGGCAAACGGGGATCGCCAATTGCCGTTGTTTCCCAACAATTCGTCAAATGTCAGGAAACACACAGCAACTTGGCAATCTTTGGGCCCTTAGTTGGTTGAGTTGAATGGAACCCCCTTCCCTCCAACAAACAAATTGTAGGGAAGATCCTATGGATTGGGGGCTAGGGGGCCTTGCTGGGGATATGCACTTACCAAGCCGGCTGGTCATCCAAGGCAAAGGGGGGAAAATATGGCCGTCTGCCTCAAAGGGAGGTGTTGGGGTGGCCGACAAAAGACACTGCCTATAAGCATTGCATCCAAGGCTGTGGCCCATTGCACCTTGGGGTCGGGCCAATTTCCACGCAAACTTAAATAGGGCGAGTACATGATGCTAAGGGGCAAGCCCTTTGAAGGGTAGTTTAAGTATTCGATTTGAACAGCGAAACCGGGAGGGTGCTTTCAAAGCCAAGCCATCCACCGTGTCGGCAGGGTCTTGGCTTAATGGCAAAGCGGCAAAAACAACGCAAGACTTGGATCCTTGCTGACCTTCTACTTACAGGATCGGAAGAGCCTTTGGTTCTGCCGCCTTCGTGTTTAATGTACATATGCAGCTGTGTGTGTGTGGCTTTGATTCTGTCGGAACCGTGCTAGATCCTGCAGATTGCGCAGAGTTCCGAAGCTGTTCCTCGGCTTTTTGGAATCGACTTTGTGCTGACTGAAAGAGATCTTGGTGTGGGTAAGGGCAGCCTAGGCTGAAATCCGGCCCTTGTTTGGAGCTTTAGAGGCGCAGCTCGACCAACCCATTGCTATGCAGGAACCCTCGTTCAATGCTCAGGTATGGGGTTTGGAGCTATGGGTTATTGCCGGATGAGGCGACATGAGGCATCACATCCCCCGTGCAAGCGGTTTTCTTAGCTCCGTACCTCCATTTTTTCCCTGAAAGTTCCCTGCATACCATGGCTCATGATCGCGTCCCGAAAAGCCACATACTCCACGGAGTCGTTGAAGGGCTTCTCAGTTACACCTCGGCAAGGGGCCTGGGACAGGGGTTCTGTGTCCATGGCGGTGTCCTTTTGGCCTGGTGGACCGCGGGTGGGCTTTAAATGAGCCAAGTAAGCCCTGTAGCATTTGTTTGGGTGCCTTTGAAGCAGACATCTCTTATGCTGCCATTCACTTGTGCGGGATTGGCAGGGAAAAAAGAAGCCGGCTCTTGTTTACCAGCGAGACCTTGAGTCCAGAAACTTGGGAACAGAAAGTCCCGCATGAAAACGTGGCTGCAGTTCCGATTGAAAGGTTCTCAAGTGGGCGATAGAATAATTGCACCAAAGGACCTGGATGGGCATCGCACTTCCATGGAACTGTCCGAGTGAATCCCTTCGGGCTCCTCTGGGCCTGGAAGCCTCTTTCCAGGCAAAGAGATGCAAAGAGCAAGACATCTAGAGTTGTGCAAAAGGCATGACACAAAAAAGTCGTCTTGCGCCTTAGGTCCAACTCTGCAAAGGTCAACTCACATGTTCAACAGGTATTTTCGGGGATGAGGGGCCGGGTTAGGGGAGGGGGGTCGGGGGTCATATGCCAGGCCACGTCTCAATTCCACGCTGTCCTGCTGCCTTGCAGCCGCCTCCTGCGTCGATAGGGCGAGTTTACCTCGGTACCTCTATTTGATGAGACACACCCATGCGTTATAGGCACAAACAGGGGAAACTGGTTCAGATTTCGTGTTGTGACCGGCTCCCCTATATTCCCCATGTTTTGTTCGGCGCCATGAAATATGAGGTTGATCCACATCTGGGCAGCTCGAAGCTTTTATGGCTGGTCTGATCTGCCTCGCCCCTTAGATCGTTTCACCTTTCTGTTGAACCCGCGCAAGGCTGGGGAACCCACAACCCCATTGAAACCTCGGTAGGTTCCCTTTGGTTCTGTGATCTTCCGTGTTTCTTTTTGGGGCAGTGCGGGGGAAACCCCTTCAAAGTCAACCTTACAAAAGCGGCCCTGTGTTCCCCGTGGCCACTGGTGGGCCCAGGTTTGGTGGGTTCCCTATTGTGTCATGTTTCCCTAACGTTTCTTTAATCGGAGTTAAATGGTGTCTCACCGGATTCGTGTGGTAAGGTTGTCGGGCATTCACTGACCTGCGGAGTTTCATGAGCCATGCCTGCTTCAGCATATTTTGGGCAAGCACACCTGGGGAAATGATGCAGGTCCGTTGCTTGGGAATATCTTAGTTCAGGTTCTGAAGTTATACATAGTAAGAATAGCAATAATAGCAGATGTTTGCTGAGCACTTGCGTGCTCAGAGCAGGGTTTTCCATCCCTTAGGAATGAGCACGGGATTATTTAGCTCAGCGAAAATTGTTCTTCTGCCTCCGCCCATTGATCATTTCTTGAATCTTTGGTCAACCTTAAGGCATTTGGGCAAATTGCAGTGACCCCACAAAGGCTACGACCAAATTACCAATGATAAGGCTATCAAATGATTTTTGGGTTCAACAAGGGAGTCATTGTGCTCTGTGATCTAAGCATACTTCCATGTTTTACTTTCCCCTTCTAGTTTTAAATGGGACCCTATCACTACTGGACATATTTTGTTTCTTCCCGAGGACTTGGGAAAAATGGAGGTCAGCATTGCCTTTGGTTGCCATTTGTTGCAGATCTTTTTGTTCTTGGTCATGTTAGGTCCAGGCACTGACCGTACCCAGGCCTTCTTCGGGCTTGGCATCGAAGCCCCCGAGGTGGAGGCATCTGGATTCCTCGAATCGTTCGGGGGGTGGGCCCTGGTGGGACAGCCGCGGAAACAAAACTGTCTTGGAGTTGGAAACTGGGACCCGTGGAGCATCACTTGAGCGGCCAGATGTGAAGTGCCTGTCAAGCACAACATTGGATCCATGGCCGAGTGGTGCATGCCTTACCGCTCTTGGATTGCGATTGCTGCATTCCCCCCACGGACACAAACGTGCCCCCTTTTTCTGTACATCTCCCTTCTGAAACGGAACATGGGGAAAGACCCCTTCACTGGGAGCACCCATTTCGTGCATTGCGCACTTGGGGGTGCACTTGACAACAGTGCAATTGAAAGCTTCTCAGTGACATAATATTTGCCTGCCCGTACCAGAAACAAATCCAGCACGACGCACGATGCACTGCTCACACACCCAATGGGAAGGTCTCAACTCAAAGCACGGTGTTGCCGCTGCACCCATTGTGTCAGATGTTGACGCGCTGTGCCAGACTGTTTCAGGAAACATGTACGTTCCTTCCAGCAGCCAGTTCCATTCTCCCTGAGGTCGAATCCTTTTTGAGAATCAAATTTTTGAAACAAAATTGGCCTACGAATTGTCAAGCCAGGAGCACCCAGCAACACTGCAACTCAAGCTGGCGCTCGTCTGCCCGAAGTCCGCCTGCCAGTCAGAGAAATTCCCCTAGACTTCTACCAGCTCCAACCACCAACGACCGAAAGGAGAACGAGCCCTGAGTCGGTCCGAACTCTTCCAAACCTAGACGGGTCCGGCTGCCAAAAGTTCACTCTTTGTGTGGGTCAAACACGGAGAACAACGCAAACCCGAAAGGGCAAAACTGTGAGGTCCGCAACCGGGAAGTGGATTTCTTCGTGCCGGGCGGCTCAGAGGCTGGCGAGAGCAGTTGCTGCGAGTTACTCTGGGAAACGGACATCTGGCCACTCGGATCTGTCAGCTGCCGTACCTCGGCGTGGAAAAAGAGCAACATGCACGCGGCAGTGGCGAGGGTTCCCTGGAGCTTTCCCTTGAATGGAAAAAAGCACCTCACAGGGCAAAAGCCAACGCGATCTACGTCACATACGCCCCTAAAGTACATCCTCAGGTGCTTTGACCATTTGAGGAATTGACCTGCCTTAGCCCAGCGTGACCAAGCTTGCCGTGGATGTCCATGCAAACTGTTGCATGTAGGGAAACAAGGACTGGGATCTTGCCATTGCGCTTGGGGCATTTGCAGTACGTTGAGGCTGGAGTGTGTAGTCCGCTCGATGCGTCTTTGTCTGACCTAAAGGCCTGACAGAGCATGACAAAGCTCATACCGCCTTCCGGTACCAATGGGAATGCAGTTGATCCGCAAGCCTTGGGCAACCGCTCAGTTTTGGTTCTGGGCATGCACAAGAATGCAGAAAACATACAGGAGGCAAAAGGCAGGGGTTCCGATACCCAGGCACCAAACTTAAATATATTGTATATGTATATATATATATATATGTATGTGTGTGTGCATGAATGAAGCAAATCAATGCACTGGTAGTTTCCTTGTTGGAACATGTGGCCCTTTGGGCGTTCAACCGCCTGGCCCGGAGCCTGCAGTCATCGGCATGCCTAGGGTTCCGGGCTCGAGGCACACTGGCTGCCGCCGCAAGCATTCGGAGCTTGGAGGCCCATTCCGGCTTCTTCCTCAGGCAAAACTGTCTCAGCCTGAACCAGTCCATTGTAAGGGAAAATTGACTTCCAGATTGGTGGGGAGGGTAGGGAGCTCTGTTGTACGGTGAGCTTGGTAGAGAAAGAGAACCCCTTCTTGCCTGGAGACTTTGCTTTTTGACGGGCAATCTACCAAACACAAAAGAGAAAAGATTGCCCCTGGACAACTGGGCAAAGGGTTGAACAAAACTGGCCACTGTCAACCTCATCCCACTGGCGCCCTCAATTCGGGTTCAAGGGCAGCCAAATGAAAAACAAGTTCCGAGTTCCCATCGGTTCCCCGCGCCTTAGCCAAGGGAAGCTATTGCAAACGTGGCGTGCTCAATCCAGGGCAGCACTGCTAAAAGCTCGCATGGGGCTGGAGCTTAGTTTTGTTGGTAGCCGATTTTCAAGCCACCCCCAAACCAAAACAAACAAGGAACGAAAGGGGCCCCACCAGCTGTCTGAGCTGGCAAGGTTCCTTACACACATCCTAGAAATACCTACGTCACAAGGAGATCCTCCATATCTTAAAGTATTGTTGTACTTGGCCCCAAATGGTATCCTTTACTTCCATTTGCCTAAGCCCCTGGACAAAAAGGCATATGTCCCATAGTCATAGATTCCCTGCAAAACAAATCTTAAGCAAATGCTTGGCTGAATTCCAAGCATCTTCTCAATTCGGGCCAGGTCGAAAAGCTTGTCTTTGCACTGGCCCAGCGCTGACTTGGAGATGTAGCCTGCGTCCCGACGCGGACCAAAAACTGGGGTGGAGAAAATCAAGTACAAGTCCTAGTGCCGGTGTTGTCTGTGTTTGTGAGGGGGGAGGGGGTTCTGAAAAAACATGTCTATGCAACTTGTGATGTGTCTGATCGAAAAGACCCCAAACAAAACAATTCTGGATCGCTCAGCACTCAGTGATTGATTTGTGCCCACTGCGGAAACTCGTATGGCTCTGGATCTCTGCTCAAGTTCAGATCTTGGTCGTTAAAAGTTCACAAAACCGTTTGCAGGGGAACTTCACACTTCAAGTACCCTCCTGCATGAATCTCAAGTGGACATAGGTCACCTCTTGGCCTGCCCTTGACGAATCTGATTCGGCAACCCCAAACCACACACACACAGCACCTGGTCAGGGCGTCTGGAAGAGACAAAGGTTGAAGGAGCAAACGTGTCAAGTGGCACGTTCGTTCGATGCTGACTCAGGTCAAAACGGCTTCCTCCCTGCTGCGTCTCTGCTGGCCAGCCGCGTACCTCCAAATAGGCTCCCCTGTAACAGCTTAGGTCAAAAACCCTGCACCGCAAATAACTTTCTTCCTTTCTTGCCGATGCATCCTGCTACCAAGGTGACTGAGAAAAAGCGCCCTTGTGCTTAGCCGATACTTACCTAAACCGACTGGCAGTGAGCCCCTTGCATTATTTTTCTTGCAACAATGATAGAAGTTGACGTTGTGGGGCTTCCCAAAACAACAGCTTTCTTCCAAATCCTCTGATGGCCAGCTTCCACAATTGCCAGTCCAAGGTCCCGGCCGTCCATGTCCTCGTCTACGAAGCAGAAGATGCGGTAGAGCTTCTTCTCGAGGACACGCCTCGCCGCGCATCGCCGGGCGCGCATCAACGTCAACACATACCGTGCGAATGCAAGAAACGCGGAGCTTCTTGCCAACCGTAACCCGGGAAGCAAGGGAGTTTTCGGAGCTTGCTGGCCTCATTTATTGCACGCCTCACAGGGCCAAAGCCAAAGAACATTGCGTCAGGCTCCTTTTCCAAGACAAGAGCCGTCTTGGGCAGATGTTGCGGCAAAGATGCGTCCCTTCTACGTCACCCCTGCGGAACGTGCAAACCTAACCTTAATATCCGAAATCCCCCTTAGTGCCCCCAAAAGTCGAATCGAAATGAGCACATGCAACCTTTGTTTTCTCTGTTGAAAGCAGATTCCCCCACAAATGCAGCCGGGGGGTACATCGCCACAACAAAATAACTCAGGCTAGCAGCCCTCCACCCGCCAACAAAAAAAAGTCCCTTCAAAACCAAAGGGGTGCCATCCATGGGTGCCTTGAAAAACGACGCGGCTTTGTCTCCAAACAGGACACCCTGCAACCTGGCTTCTTGGGTTTCGTGGCGCCGCCCCATGTCAGGCAATCTCCTGAATCAGGACAGCCCTCTACTCACTTCCTGAGTGACTTGGCCAGAAAAAGCCTGAACTTCTTGTTTACCCCAAGCATTTAAAGTCCAAGACTTCAGGAAGTGAGTCTAGTTGAAGTTATGCAGTTGCAAGAAAGAAAGCCGGCTCCTTGATTGAATGGATTGGGACCCCTCCCTAAAAAATATACGGGCTGGGGCATAAACTGCGGCTCCCTTTTCTCCAACGTTTTTCGACCCACGTGCTTTCGACTGCAACCCATGTGTTACCTTTCGCTTGGGCCGGTTCTTCCAATAACTGAGTCCGTGCAGCTCGGGGCCCCGGCGAGGCGTCTTCGTCCTCCACGCGGTGGCCCCAGAAGCGCTGGAGCTCCTGGAGCTTCGGCATCAGCGCCTCAGGCGTGTCGTTTCTCCGAGTGGGGCTGGTGGTTTGAAAGGTGGGCTTGTTTGGTCCGGTGTCTGGAACCTCCGGGTCTAAGTGGGTACAACGGATCCGAATTGGCTGCTGTTTGTTGAGGACCATCCCATTGTGTTTTTCTTACAGAAGCCATGGGGATGGTTATGGTTTCCGTTTGGCTTCCCCATTTTGGGTGAGACAAAGCCGCTGCACCCGCCAGTCGGATCGCAAAGGTCTCTCCTTGTCTCGCGCCGGCCGGGGGCGATCCGCAAAGGGCTGGTAAATGGGTCTATCCTGGGGTTCAAACCACCATTCAAACCATGGGGGGTGATATAAGCACTGTTGTTTCCTAAGGATTGTCATCACCCAATTGGGATAACCTTGTTTTACCTGATAGGTTCAGCTTCCCGCCCATTTTGTGGTTACCGTGATATGGAGGTTTGTTGTGGCTTCCCATTGGCCCAACCCCCAAACCACCATTTTTCGGTGCGCGAGCTGATAGATGTTTCCCTGCAAATGACATCACAGGGAAGCTCGAGCTCAACATTGGCCCAAAGGCAATGCTTTAGACCCATCCTCCGCTGGGGTGCGAACACCCGGTTTGAAACAGCCAGGGGCAAGCCTGCTTGCCCAATCAGAATTGGCAATCACCCCTGGCAAGAACGAAAAAGGGCCCTTCTCTTTCTCTGGGCCTCCGCCATTTGGCGATGGGATAAACCCAAAGCACAGCTAACAGGTTATAACCTCGCGCAACCAACCATACGCAGCCAAGTCCACTCACAATACAGGAAAAGATGGGCAACCGGTCGATTCACTTTGAAAAAGCAACTGAGACGCGTCACCTCGCGAGTCGAAATGGGTTGAACCCTTTATGGACAACTCTGGGGGTAGTCTGAAGCGATTATTCTCCATAGTGCAACACAGCTATAGTAGTTAGGTCCATTTTTAGCCAACCTCAAGAAGAGAAGAATTGTCTGAGGAGACCCGAGAAATGCTATGTTGCAAAAAACGTAAGCAGAGTTGCGGGAACTGCCAATGTCTGTGCAACCTTCGAAATAGATTATGATTTCTTCTCCATTTCAAGGGGGGAACAGTTCCCTGCATGCGACCCACTGGGCCCCGGGCCGCGATGCGCGCGATGCGGCCGAAGCGGTTCAGGCGCGCAGCGCGTGCTGAGCGACCGAAGAGCCGCAGCATGCGGGTGAGCCTGGCGTCGTGCGCCAATCTCTAATCCAATACTGGTTCAGGGCCATGGCGAGAGGAGCCACGGGAGGGTTATGGTCCATTGCCTGAAACAGCCCATGATAGCCACTAGTAGCCACACATCCGAAAATCGCCTACTCGAACAAGGGGGGGGTCCTTTAAATCAGCTTGTCGCGGTGATTCGCAAACTGGCTCCTTGAAGGCAACCTGACCATTTGAGCATGCCGAACTCCTCCCAGAAGCATTCCTTTCGTAGGGGTTTCGGGGTATGCTCAAGTCGAATTCCTTTCATAGACATTCAAGGCGCGAGAAGCCATCCCTCAAGCATCCTATGTCCCTTTCAAGAAACCGAAAAGGGAAGCAAGAGAAGCCCAAATATACAGTAAGGAAAAAGACTCCCTTTGCTGAAGGATCAATCAGGGTGGCACCCTCCCTTTTCGTTAAGGAAACCCACCTTCCCTTGCCATTCGCGCAGCACTCAAACGGCCTGCTGGAGCGACCGGCTACAAAGGCATTGTCGTCCGTAGCCAGCTGCATAATGATGGTGTCCTACAGCGCGTGCGCAGAACAGGGTTTGCCATGGTTCCCCCCATCGAAGGACATGCACTCAACATTGGCCAACCAAAAGTGGCTGATGTCTGCACATCGCCTCTAGGGACGTCCCCGCCAGGCGGCTGGAATCAAGGAGATGAAGGCGACTAAGTCGAGGATGAAAAAGGCGCTATAAATGTAGCCCTGCTTGCCTGAGAAGTCCGTGGGAATGGGAACTGTGCTTGATTGATTCCTTGCCTTGCCCACACCCTCAAGGCTGGAGCAGCGTTTCCCCACATTTCCCCTTGCAAGCTGGCCCCACCCAAAGGGCACTCATCTCAGATTGGCAACCAACAGCTGTCTTTTTGATGAGCACTGTAGGCACGCCGAATTCAATTCTGAAGACTCCCCACTAATTCCAAACCCTGAATCAAATGAGAGAACCCCAAGCCTTCATCATGGTGAGCTTTTTAACCCCAGGCAAGCTTGCCCTAAATAGGCACATTTAATGATTAAACCAAACATGCCCCTTTACATGGCACTTGGCCGAAGCGGCCGATCCCATGGACGATCAGCTCAATCAGGAAGGCCAGCGCTGCGATGGTCGTGCAAATGCCAATGCCAATCCAGGAACTCCTCGGCTTGGAAGACCCGAGCGCTTCCTATGACTTACTCTTCTTTGACGTAGACATGGGATTCCCTTCAGGTTCCCTGGTCGCCCGAAAGGAAGACATCCAAAAAGAGGGAACGATTCCGAAGTGCTCCGAAGCACAGAGAGCGCCGCTAGGTCAGAAAGGCAGCTTTCACGCCGAAAGGCATAACAAATGAACACCTTGGACCGGAAGGCGAAGTTCTCTCTTTGCATAATTAACTTCTCTTTGACTCTTGGCTTGCTTGGAGACAAAGACCGGACGGCGATTGGCGCGTCCAGGCCACCACGGACGATAAGATTGCAAACAAGTATTGTTTCAGGTTGAGGAGAAGGCATGACCTACTTGGAGAAACTCGCTGATGCGAATCGCCTGTTGAACATGATAAGCTGGCCACCTATGCAATTGCACTAGCAAATGTGTCTGGCTGATCGTGGCAACTGACAAAGCTAGCAGTGTTTCACTGACAAAAGTGACAACGAAACACGCAGTCTCCGTCGTGGGCGGCCTAAAAGTCATACTCCAAGGCTCAGGCTGCAAGAAAGATTAATCGTTGCAAATGGCAGTGTATTCAAGTTATCATGATTGGTTTTGTTTGTCCCAGTCTTGCTTTGCAATGGTTTCAGGTGTTGAACAGCTCCGAAAGATGTTTTGCAAGGACTGTATGTACAAGTTGCTCATGTGCATACCCAGCCTTTGGGGCAAGAGGCCTGCCCAAAAGCTCTTATCAGACTCTTATCACGGACATGGACTTCTGCCCTTTGTCCCAATCGCCCGCTTTCTGTGCCGATTTTGACTAAAGTCCCCCCCTCCAAAGGCATTGCCAATGGCCGCACACAACAGCTTGCAGCCTGAAACCAGCATTTTCCATCACAAGAGGCCTGGCATCCCCGCTAAGGCGAGGTGCTTATCCCCCGCAATGGAGTCAATGTCCGTGGCAAACAGGGCATAAGCTGTAAAGAAGACATACACCGCCGTCCACGCCCTGCGCACAACTTGGCCAGGCAGGTGAGTTAAAGGCCCCATGCAAACCGTTCACAGCCCACTCCAAAAATTGAATTAGGTCCGCACGTCGGCCTTAAAAGCAGCCCATGATTCAGCGGAGCCGAAATGGCTTCTGTCAGTTCCCGATTTCTTGTTTTGCTTGCCAGCCTAGAGAGGTGATTGACTTGAGCCTCACCAGGTATTCGCTGGGAGGGGGTGCCCAAATAAGCATCACTTTCAGCTGGTGACACCAGAACTCTAATCTAAACTTCCCCGGAAAAGCCCTCAACAAGGAACCTCTCCACCTGATGGCTAAAAGTGGTTCCAGCCTTCCTGTATGGGGCAGGTCCAATTGTTCAAACATGATTCAACCACTATTGTTTGCGGTCTCACACCCGTCTTTGGGGGTTCAGGGGCGCATTGACTTGAGAACCAGCGCAGGACGCCAGCTGTCTGTCCAATTCGCATGGTCCATCCTTTGACTTCTTCGGGCCGGGTCTCTTACTTTCTCATGTCACCCGCGTGTTGATTGTGCCTTAGCCGTGCAGTACCCAAACAACCAGTAAGCTGATCAAAGCCAAGTATTTTGTTAGGAGCCTAATGACGGCTCCGTGCTTTTTGATTTGCATTGCTGCCCGCAAGTTGTGAATGTCAGAAGCAGTGACTCTTCTGAGGGTGGTAAGCAAGCTTGCTGGCCCTCGCTACTTCCTCCGTACACCAAACGTGGCTACAATTGCACTCAGGTTGCATGACTAAGATGCATTTGAACATTGGGTTCTTTGGAAAGAATGCACTGATTCAAACCTTTTCCCTGAATAAACAAACAAACAAACAAGCGAACAAACAAACAAACAAACAAAAAACAAACACACCAACAGACAAACAGACAAACCAGCAAACAAACAAACAAACAGACAGTGTTGTCCCATTTACGAGGAGAGCAGGTACAGACGAGCCGCCGACGATTGTGCAAATCCTTGCAGAAATCCTGGATCGGCCCTATTTCCTCGTCGGGGTTATCCTAGGCCGGATTCGGCTCAGGCTCCGCGATGTGACCGCGCCAGGGAAAGGAGGCAAGAATGCCCTAGTTGCTCAGACTCGAGGGGCCAAACAGTGATTGCATTACTAAGCCAAGATTGGCAAATCCCTGGTTGATGGCCCCCTCCGTAAGTCGAGGGGATCCTTCATTTTAAAGACCCTACAATGAATTCGCAAAATTCGAGGCATGATGGAATCCCTTGCCAACACTTCAAATTCATGAGTGCTCAACTTGACTGTGCTTCCTCCCATTTGTGGGCAACATCCCGAGTGCCAAGCGTCAATGTGCTGCTTCTCCAAGCCCCCCTGCGTCCAAACAGTGTGAATACCTTCCTGCTCCTGGCGATGTCGCCCTCATCGGGTCGGAGGATCAGCGATGCGGGCCGAAAGCATTGAAGGTCACATGCCCCTATAGAGGTGATAGAGGTGTTGCGCATCTCGGACGCATCTACCTCACCAAACTCCAAGAAAAGGTGATCAAATATAATTCCACCCTTGGAAGGAGATTAATAATGTGGGATAGCTCGGATTGGAGTGGCCATTGGACGACACGTGCGAGGGCACTAAGCTCCAGACATAGCCAACCGTCTCCCGAACGACAATCAGATGACAAAAAGTCATGGGATGCATCCATCGCTACAATGCCCGGACATACCAAACACGGCAAGGCTTTTGCTTCACAAAGCTGAGCAACCCATACTTCATCGCCTGTTGGACCCTCCGGGTGGGCTCTTGCGCAAAATGCAGGCTGCCAACAACGAGCAACTGCAACAGATGGATGGTGCCTGGCTCCACTTCGATCTGAGTTACATAGGTGTTTTCTTTCTGCAGCGTGAATGCAACGTGCATTTAGAGGAAAGCGGCCAATAATCATACATTGATCTGAACCAGAAAGTCGATGACAAATCTTGCAATCTGTCAGTTTGTCGTTGTTACCACTTCTTCTTTGCAAAAAACGGTGTGTGCACCTGCTGCCGCGAGCATTATTTGACTTTCTGGAGGGCTTTGGGATTTTGCTCACAAGTGGTCCATTCCACGAAAGCCTGTTGACAGCCAGCTGCTTCGCAGGCAACAGGCAACAAGCTTGTCCTCGGCCAAAGCAACCCTCGACTTTGAACAACCCAGGCTAATCAATACATTTGCGGGACGGTAGCTGGGCAGGACGTGTCCCTTCTATGCCAAGCGTGAGGCAACGTAAACCAAGTGCCTTGTCAAGTATGCCCGTGTCTGTTTGCTACAGGATTTTGGGGCGGGCTTATCACAAATCAGTTCGAACCCATATTAATCAGGCGCCAGCCTTTTAATTCATACCGCCCAGTAGCCTTGGGAAGCCAACTTGGCCTTTGACGGTGGGAACAGTGGGAGTGCAACCTCCCGGACCGGTCGTGTCAACCTCCAGAGCTCCTCCGCTTGTGTCAAGGACCGCCAGGATTGCGATCGTTGCAGAGCTGACAGCGGGCGGACAAAAAAAACAAAGAAGCTTTGGACGACTTGGCCCCTTGCAAGACTTGAAAAGATTCAAAATCACGAACAGGTCGCTCAGCAGTGATGCAACATGGCTTGCCAAACCTCCCGCTGGAACAAGCCTCGGACAAAAACGGAAGGCAAGAACCTTTCCCAGCTTGGCCTTTGGGATGCTTTCCATGAGCGTTCCTTTGGAACTTTCCGCGGACTAAAGCGACCCCCGAACGTCAGGTTCCACGTGAAAAGGGTGGGAGGGCATGTTGAGCAACTTTACCAGACCCCCTCACCCAAATGCGTGCGTTGGTGATATCTTCTGTGTTTTGTGCGGCAGGTGGTGCTCCCTCCCTTTGAGCGTGATTGACACGTGATAGGACCCAAAGCCGACACCCACCAACCCACAAAACCGATAGAGGCCCGACTGAAACTGATACCCACCCTTCCCCCCACCCCCCGTAATATCGTCCTTTGCTCACAATGGCCAAACAAAAACTGTCCATTGCTCACAATGGCCACCAAGAAAACACACACGAACGCCATACTATCCATGTTCGTGTTTTTGCTCTTTACTCGGACACCCTTCGGCAAACATCATGCGCCAAGCCGCTGCGCTGGTCCGAGAAATCGGAGGGGTCGCCTCTGTCCTCCACGCCCCGTCGGAACTCATAGCCTGAGTTGCTTGCATCGGTTGACTGGGTGTTAAAGGTAAACAAAAACATCAGATGCAAACAATGAAACGGGAATAGGGAACAGTGTTCAATGTGTCTTAAATGACTGATGTTGAACAGGGTGCCCAGCGACTCCGAACGGGCAGCACCCACTCCAAGAAGCGATGCGCAATACAAGTGTGAAGCACAACGCGAGAAACCGGAGCCCCACTCAACAAAGAGGGGAACCCACTGCAGGAAAAGAGAAAGCACTAACCAAAAATGACTAAGCCTAACAAGAGATAAAGGAAACCCAGTCGGCAAAAAGGCAGAGCCCAGGTAAACCAAGGCCAGGACCAGTCAACAAAAACGGAAACCCACTCACTCCCCAAAGACATGTGCGCCCACTCACGAAATGGGGGACGCCAAAGAGGATGCGAACCCTCTCAAAGAAAGAAGCCGCAGGCTTTGGCTCTGACGCAGTGGCCGAGCAGCGCAAAATGTTGTCCAGGTAGCTAATGTTGGATGGCTCCTCGGATAGCTCACAGGGAAAAACCAGACGGTGTAGCTCTTGGGTACCCCTTCCTAGGTGCCTTAAGGGTTTTGATTTACCCACCTCTACGCAGTCATGGTATCCATTCTCAGCAAAGGGCAGCTCACCCGTGTGACCCACCGAAGATTGGGATACCCTACTTGAAACTAGTGTATGTGTTTAACATAAAGGTGTCCTAAAATGATCGGGGTCCCTTTGCACATTTCGTGCGAAGGCCTGGGTCAGGTCCCCCCCCCTCATTTTGTGGAAACTGTCACATCTTGCCCAACCAAGTGCTGCTTCTCGCCTGACCGATGTGATAGATGAGATTGATCAGACTAGAAGGTTCAATCTTTCTTCGGACTTTCCGAGGCAAGCAG